CCCTATTAAAACTGTCACCGCAATTTGTTTGTTTGTTTTGAATTTCGCGCAAAGCTACACGATTGCTATCTGCGCTAGCCGTCCCTAATTTAGCAGTGTAAGACTAGAGAGAAGGCAGCTAGTCATCACCACCCACAGCCAATTTTTGGGCTACTCTTTTACCAACGAATAGTGGGATTGATCGTCACTTATAACACCCCCACGGCTGAAAGGGCGAGCATATTTGGTATGACGGGGAATCGAACCTGCGACCCTCAGATTGCGAGTCGAGCGCCCTAACCACTTGGCCACCCCAATTTGACTCCACTGCAAGCTGTAAAGTGATCAGGAAGGTCCACTCTACCCAAAACGACCATCAAACGTTTTCTGCAAACTCGGTTGCATAAACTCCTTTATTGGAGTAGATACACAGAATGACTATCAGTCTAAAAAGAGCTTTAAGAATAATTACATGCATTTCCAATATGTTTCCTAAAAGTCTTTCCTCTTCTGAAAAAAGTCACATATGACATTATGAAGTATGGCGATAATGCATTACTGAATATGTGGATTTTTCGTTCGCGAATTGTGTTAACATAAAACCCATCGCTTTTCAGTGCAACAGATTTGGTAATAGAGGTACGCTTTTTAGTTTATGGCGCTAGTAGTCCCATCTAGTGATAAGAAAAATTAAATATCTGTTCGAAAATGTCTGCTTTCGGCGAGCAGCAACCATGGTTAGGTTTGATGTGCGTTATAGTAGAAAGGTATGAGGAAAATTATATTAAAGTTAGACATATCAGGTTTGTTAAAGTAATATGCGCATCTCTTGATATACTTTTCCTATGCGTGACATGCAATACATTTTTCGTGAAAATGGCAATACAATTATAATCAATTCTTTTTTTTTTGTAACCTTCAATAAAATTAGGCTTAACTCAGAATGAAGTTAATATTGCAAAGTGCCTATTCATGACTTAAAATTAAGATATTTTTTTTAAATCTTCACTTTCAGTAGAACGAAACTGCATCCAAAAATGCTGCCACTGTAGGTATCCATTGTATAGCATTTGAAAATTACTTGGAAGTTTTTAGTACCAAAAGTAATAACAGAATGCAAAGTAAGATGAAAATTAAAAAAGAACAAAATGTTGCCTTTACAGTTTAAAAGACGTCGTCGTCTTTGGTGTGTTATTTTTGTAAAATACTTCAAGTTGTAACTTTTTATTTATTCCCCCCCCACACACAAAAAATAAATAAAAGAATATATATATATATATACATATAGAAAATACTGGAAATTAGACAAGAGTATCTCTTTGCATGCTCTGTTTCAATGTTAAACATATGTTTATTCTTATTCAATGTTACTTCATTTCCAAAGTGATCACTGTTTTTTTTTCTGATCTAAACTAATAGTCATTTGGTGCAACTTGTATTATGTATGGATGCATTATGGTTGTTAGGTTTTAAATGTGATCCTTAGGTACTATGGTAACAAACAGAGTTGTAAACTAAGGAAATATTAAAGATGTTGAGTATATTATTAGGTAGAGTTGATAAGCTTTCATTATTGTTTTTGTTTGACTCATACTATGCTTTTATTGGCTTTAGCATTTCTTAGTTTGGATTATTTTATTGTCATGTGAATTCTTGTACACTTTTAGGCATACTCCTAGTATGTATACCATGACATCTGCTGGGTTTCGGGGACCATATCCTACCAGCCTTCAAGTGTCATCAGCAAGTATACCAAGGTTTAGTCCTCACACTCTCCTACCTCCTCATCCTGGTATACACACCCATCCAGGATTTCACCATCCTGCACTGTTGACTCCAGGACCAAAACATGGGGTTCCTTTATCACCAGGAGAAGGCAGCAGGTACTGGTATGGTGTTTTAATGCTTTGTAGATTCCATCTAAGTTTAAATTTAACATACTTTTCTAAATACATAATTTTTTAACATATTGTATGTCCCACTCTTGCATTGAAGTTTAGTAATGGATTCCAAATTCCAAATATATCATAGGTAGATATTTCTTCATAGTTTTTGGCTAGAAATCAAAATATAAATTTTTATTGCAATTTCAATATTAAGCATAGACCTGACCTTTATTTGTACTATAAAATTATTATTATTATTATTTTTTTTTCAACTACTTAATTATAAATATTCTGTTCATTACTCAAAGTATGTTATTGTTTATGTATATCAGTCAACTGAATATTGATTTCAATGTTTGGGATTTTTCTACTCACACTTGTAAAAAAGATATCAATATTAACAAAGATTCAAAGATGTTTAAGATTCTAAAGGGAATTGTAGTGTTGAAGCATCATCTTTTTCATATTTAACAGTGAGAATAGTAGGACTAGGGGATACAAATATAAATTTTGGCAAGGTAGGAGTCATCTTCAGCTAAGACCTTTCTATCCACTAAATTCAACACTAAAAACTCAAAGCCAGCACTTATCATTCATATATTTTTGAAATTTTCCTAAAACTTCCTTGAATTAATTACATCTACCACATCTGAAGGCATCCCATTAAAATGGCTAAACCACCCTGTTAGAAAAATAAAACTGTCTTGGCTGAAGATGATTCCTACCCAGCCAGGATTTATACTAATGACCCCTATTCTTATCACTATTATCATAAATATGAAAAAAGATGAGGCATCAGCACTATAAATTCCTTAACAATCTTAAACACCTTGATCAGATCCCCTATAATTCTTCTTTTTTTCAAGAGAAAACAAGTTCAGAGATGAGATCTTAACCTATCCTCTTAGGACAACCTTGCATCCCAGGTATCATCTTGGTAGTCCTCCTGTGAACCCTTTCTAACAATTCAATGTTCTTTCTAATGTAAAGAACCCAATTCTGAGCACAGTACTCCAAATATTGCCTAACCAATGACTTATACACTGATATTGCCCCCCCAGTGGCACAGTGGTATGTCTGCAGACTTACAATACTAGAAACCAGGTTGCGATACCCGTGGTGGGCAGAGCACGGATAGCCCTTGTGTAGCTTTGTGCATAGTTAAAAACAAACAAACAATGATATTATTACCTCTTTATACTTTTATTCAACATTTCTACATTTTCAACCTAAAATCCTATTTGCTCTGCTACTAGCAACAAAAAAGAACTACTTAAAACTAAATATAGGCTTTTGCTTCCATTTATCTATTCAACAGAAGTTTAAATGAATTTGGAGTAACACTAAATACACAATTTCATCAAGCAAACCATTTTTCAAGCATATAACTTTTACAGTGAAATGATTTTGCCAAAGAACAGAGTTTGTTTCTGAGCTTTCACAGCTCATACTTGTAGCATGTAATATTCAAATACCTATTTCCATTTCTATTACTCTACCACTCAAGAAACTTTTCATAGTTCTACACAAAAAATAAAAAGGCTTTTTTTAGCTGAAAAATTTTAAATATGGTTTAACTTTAGCATATTGACAACCTTTTTTTTCCATCATTCTAATATCATTTTTTAGTAAAGGGAACATAACTAGATTGTACTTTAATTAGAGTTTACAAAAAATCACAAAAATATAATACCTTCTAACTCTAATTCAGGTAAACATTTCAGGTATTTACCAGTTGTTGCCCCTAAATCCTTGTTTTCTTCATGTCATCATTGTTTTTGTGTCCAAAAACCAAATGCAGCATTTTACACACCCAAATATTTGAAACCATTTTTTATATTTTTTAACCATATAAGACTGTCTAATTTAAACCCTTTTGAAGTGTTGAAACATTCTCCACAATATCGATTTTTCTCATAATTTTAATATCATAGGTGAATTTCAAAATATTATATTCCGTGTTTATCCAAAACTTCTAGCATGAATATTGAATGAAGAGGTTCCTGAATAGAGCTGGATTAATCAATTAATTGATACAACTGATTACCTATGAGCAGTTATTACATTTATTAGTGCCACTGAAGCTAATTGTTTGTCAAAATTAGTATTTTCTATTATTACTATTTTCAATTATTCTAAAAATTGATTTATCCAAATTATAATTAAATCGATTATCATGAAAGTCATAAACTAATTGAAATATTGGTTTTCAATTATTACTATTATTTATTATTCCTTCTATCCAACTAACTGAAATGTTGCTGTTATACTTATTTATTGCTATGTGCTAATTTCGTAATTGGTTGTGCTTTACCCAGTTTTAGCCTTATAAGTTTGTCCAGATTTGGTGATTTGGATGAGGAGTGGTCATGATAAGAGGGTCTTGGGTGTGATTCCCAATGCTATCAGGCTTGTTTGCCCTGTCTTTGCTATGGCAAAACTACTAAGGCTACCTGCCACTGTCATTAATTTAAATTATTGACTAGCACCCATTGGCAAATTTGTTATTCCTTCCCTTCTTGAACTACTGACTAGAGAGAAGACAATGGTTTGGCAGCACCTACCACCAACTTCTTTTTTTTTTTTGTTTTTGCTTGCATGTACCATGGTTTTAGGGATCAGTGTATTAATCAGTTAACCATCAAATGGGGTCATTGATTAATCAATTAGCAAATACCACCAGTCACCCACCTCTCCTCTGGGGGCCTCAGTTAAAAACATGCTCACTTGATAACACTCTCTACTTTCTACCTCCATGTCTACCATGTGGTTTTTTGGATCAATTACTTATAAACCTAGCTTAATAATTAATCTGTTGAAAAGTACACTTTTTTGGAAACTCTATAAAAGTTAAAAGCATACATCATCCATTGGAATGTCCTCATCTAAAAATTCAGAAACTTTATAAAAAAATTAATAAATTAGGTAGACAGGACAGTTACTTTCAAAAAACATAGTCAATATCATTTACTTTTTAAGGAATTTTTATAAAAGATCTGACAGTGGCTTTCAGTGTCTAGTTATCAACGAATGCCAAATAAATAAACACAAATTTCTTACAGAAGTCAAACTAACTAACAAACATATACATTAAAAATTTAATTTCTCGTATCAAAAATCAAACTAATAAATATGTAATTTCTGAAGTCAGAAATCAGACTAATAAACATATAATTTCTGATTTCAGAAGCCAAACTGATAAACATATAATTTCACCTATCAGAAGTCTAAAACTAATAACGCATAATTTCATATATCAGAAGTCAAACTGATAAACATGTAATTTCACATGTCAGAAGTCAAGCTAATAAATATATAGTTTCACTTGTCAGAATTCACAAAACTAATAAACATATAACTTCACGTGTCAAAAGTCAAAATAATAAATATGTAATTTCTGAAGTCAGACATCAAACTAATAAACATGTAATCTCTGAAGTCAGACATCAAACTAATAAACATGTAATTTCTGAAGTCAAGCAAATGAACATGTAATTTCATATGTCAGAAGTCAAACTAATAAATATGTAATTTCTGCGGTCAGAAGCCAAACTAATAAACGTATAATTTCGTATGTCAGAAGCCAAACTTATTTAGTAAACATGTAATTTTTGACGTGAAGAATTAAACTGATAAACATGTTTCACACATTAGAAGCTGAACCGATAAACATAATTTCACATGAAGTCAAACTAACAAACATATGATTTCATGTCAGAAGTAAAACTAATAAACATGTAATACGTGATGCTAGAAGTTAAACTAATAAACATTTAAAAATTCATTCAAACATGTCAAAAGTCAAGCTAATAAACATATGAATTCATATGTCAAAAGTCAAACTAATAAACATGTAATTTCATGTTACACAATCTTATTAATAAACATAAAATTTCACATCAACCCCTCCCCTCAAATGGCTTAACAGTGAGTCTTTGGACTCGTACTACTAAAAACTGGGTTTTATTACTGGTAGTAGGCACACCATAGATAACCCATTATGTAGCTTTGTGATTTGCTATAAACAAACAAAAAAATAACATTTCAAAAGTCCAACTAAGAAACAATTTTTCATGTTAGATGTTTAACTAATAAACATGTAATTTCATGCCTTATCTAGACCCATTCTTTTAATAAAAAAAGGTGACATTAGCAAGCATCTAACCATCTTGAATATACCCAGATAATGGTTAAAACCCTCAACTACCCTTTACTTGACTTTGATGATCTCATTAAAGCCAGCTTTACTCTTAAGAGGTTCTCAAAGTTTTTTAGAAATAGATTTCTTATGAACAGTAATATAAATGAAACAAAAATAGTGTAATGAATGTTTTCTTCATCTTTAGGAAAATTCATCAGATAAGAAATATTTTCTTCTTCACTTGTAGAAACACTGGTTAAAAAGTTATTTAACATTTACCAATGTTCCTTTCTTCCATAATATAGTTCTTATTTTACTCTTTTAAAAGTTTAATATTATCCTTAACTTTCTTTTTTACATTAAGATAAGCATAAAAACTCTTTAAGTCAGATTGGATATTTTCAGTTAAAAGACTTCCATAGTACCCCCCTTATCCTTAACACTAGCTTACTGAAATCCTTTGTGTATTTTAATAATTCTTAACCACCAAAGTTTCACCATTAGATTTGGTGTTATTTCCTTTATTCATAAAATAACTGCTCCTACGTATCCACTTAATCATGTGATTTGAAATAAGACTTTGGGAGGTAACCAATTCCTTTTTCAGACAGTTTTATTAAATAATAAGTTTTACTAAGTTTTGTAACATTTTTACTGTTTAAATCACTCACATAATCTTTCACTTACAATATATCATGCATCTTTTGTAAGTTTACTTTCCTAAAGTTAGACACATAAGTTACACAACACTTATCAGCTTTACAACTGTTCTATATAAGCATCAAAGGTAATATTATTATCACCATATCAACATTTCTTAATGTGTCTCTCTCTTTTTTTTTATACATCAAAAGAAGCTTCC